GGGACAGGTGATTTTCAAAATGTTTTAACATTCTCTTCATTGTAGTTGAGAGAAAAACAAGATGTCAAATACGGGGAGAAAACACATTAGTGCACAAAAATAGGCATGAAATAACTCTGAACGTTTATTCTCCCATTTTTTTTCGTTCCCACCCCTTATACATATGCCTGTACCCATTTATTGAACATTTATATAACGCTTTCTTGGATCAGACCGTCTCGGAATGGGTGCTCAACACGGCAATACACACGGATCACGAGTAAGGTGTTTACTAAGAAAAAGGGAAAACGGTTGAAAGGTAATTCCTAGCATGCGTGGTGGAAATCAAACAAGAATGCCCTTTTTGAATTATCTTCATCGCAAAGCTAAGAATTGTGCAATGAAACTTCACGTGAAAAAACCCGTAAACATGAGAGAGAGAGCTGAGGTGTTCAGAAAAGAAAAGAGTGGAGAAGGTAGCAAACAGCCATCACTTGATGCAATGCATGTACTGTCCATGAGTTCCTCCGGCAGCCATTGACTCTATCGATATTCCAAGCACGGATTGGAAAACATTCGTGGATTGAATAGCATAACAATTAGAGCTTAATATCCAGGTTAAATATTAAATAAGGCAGTTCGTTGCCGATTGACATCTCAAATAATAGGAACTGAATGTCTGAATGTCTCAAGGCGTACTTCACGCGTCCAATATTGACCAAACGGAGCGATGAGTTACACAACATGTGTAGTGGACCTCGTTCATACGGTTCTTCTCAGATGGCTAGAAATCAAGCTCTGTTCGCTTTCTGCGTACGATGAGAACTGGCTCCTCATTTCTTCTTAAACAATAAACCCGGATTTTGGTTCCACGTTTTCTCAACCTAATGAGAGCATCGTGAGATGCTTGTACTGCCCACGAAGACACACACCGGTGGATCATTATGACCATCTGAGTTGTGCCCGGGATTTTATCAGATCGCAGAAAATGTTCAGTTTAAACAACCACTACCCTGCATTATCGTGCGACGCCTTTNTCTTTTGGCTGGTCATTTGGATGAACAGCAGGAGGAAGACAGAAAAGTCGAGAATGAAGAATTTCAGTGGTCTGAAGTTGAGAAGAAATTGGAAATATGCACGAACGCCACTGTTTACGACACTCTGTGAGCCCCGGTTACCGCGATCTCGAGGTCCCCAGCCAGGGAGCCTAACGGGGACCTATGTGAACCAATCCCCTGGTTAGGGATTCGTACCTTCATGCCAGGTCTTCGTTTGACCGCCATTTGGTTTTGCTCCACCCACTACCTGCCTCGGCGAACATCGCTGGGCGGTGCAACCTATTTGGTGATATGTGGCACATGCCCCAACAAACNGGAGGTCGATTACCTACTCCAGTGGACGACCTAACTACTCAAAACTCTGCGCCTAACCCCAGCAATGCTCGTTCAGCCGCCCCACGAGAATCGTACAACACTGCGTAGACAGCGCTTTTCGAAAAGTCTATCTTTATCCTGCTTCGTTATTGGCCAATTTTCTGTACCGTATAGCAGAATTGGCCGAACTGCTGAAGTATATACTAGATCCTTCACAGCCGGATGTCGCAACGACGCCACAGATGTATCAAGTTAACAAATGCCGATCGAGCCTTCTGTATGCGCGCCAACACTTCATCCGTCATGCGTCCGTCGGGTGAGATAGTTGCTCAAGTAACAAAACTTATCCACTTGCTCTATTAGTTCTCCAGTTAGAGTGAGTTTGGGTGCTGGACCAATCCAGTCTTGTAGAAACATTTTACACTTTGAAGGTGCAAAACGCATACCGAACATGGGTACGCAGGCGCTCAAGCTATCCAGAAAAGTTTGCAACTTACCTGTGTCTTTACCTAGCAGCACAATGCCGGGTACATAATCCAGATCAGAAAATCTGCCACCTGAAAGAGAATCGATGCCACTATCCCCGCAAGAGGATAAGGTTGGTTCAAGAATCGAATCCATCACCAAGTTAAACAGAAACGGAGAGAAAGGGTAAATCTGTCCANGTCCAACACCACTCTCCGTGGTGAACTCGGAAGAAAAAGTGCCATAAGCTCGGGCTCGGCTTCGGCTATTATTGTAGTAACTGTAAAATCGAAATAAACTGCTTCATCACGCCTTTCCGGGAAAGAAAGTGCTAAAGTTTAGAGCGGTTAACTGCGCTTAAGCTTCCTCTAGATCGAGGAAGACAGAGATGGTGGGTCTACGAAGGAAGACCGTGTTCTAAAAATTGATGAAGAGTGAAGATGTGAGGCCCGTATACCTAATTAGATGGAAAAGGTTACCAATAGCCGCAGTCTTCTCTATCTGTCTACACTTTCCTATCCACTACTTCCCACGGTCATTCCTTAGACCCTTGATGAAATGGCGCTTGAGGGATTTGCGCGCTGTCATATGTGGGAGGGAGGATTCTGCGGACGTCCAGCAGGGCAGCCGAGATTGACGAGATCAATCGTTTGTCTTTTGAGCCTGCGCCAGGGTTCAATGTTGTTTTTATCGATATTTGCATAGCTTCCTTGATTTGCTTCCAGAATTTATTGAGTTTGTCGGGTGGTAATCAAACTGACAGGTGTTCGGAAAGTTCCGCTTCGAAGGCCACTTTGCAGCAATCGCTGACATTGTACCGTGAGTATCCGTTGTCGTTGGCTTTTTTCGGTTGTTTGCTAGGCGTAAGGAGAACTTGGCTCGTAACAAGGCGTGGTCCTGATTCAGAGGTGTTGACCAGTAAGATCAGCAGTCATGAATCGTCTCCCTCCAGCGATAACTGATGGTGATATGGTCGATTTGGGTCAAGCGCTGTGAAAAGGTTGGCGATTTCCAGGTAAGGCGGTGTCGTTTCTTGTGCGAGAAGTTCGTGCTTGACAGGAACAATTCGTGGTCCGCGCAGAGTTGAAGTAGGCGATCTCCATTGTGCGTCCGGTTGGCTTGGATTGTATGTGGTACGCCAAGAAGCCTTTCTGATTCGTCCAGCGACCTCACTTGAATATTGAAGCCCCCGGCGACTACTACGACGTTCGTTGATCGAACATTACAGTAATTGAAAAAGGTCATTGTGGAACTCAGTCTTGATTTCAGGTGTACTGCAATCGGTCGGTGCATACACTGATCCGAAAAACAAGCATCGACGCTTCATTCTGTAGCTGTTGGCCCGTGCTGAACGGTTGAAACGTACAGCACACAGGCGTCTACTGACTGGAATCCAGTCAAGAAGCTAGCTCCCAGCTTTGACACTTAGCACAATCCGAACGCCAGCAACACTGCGAGCTCCGGATGCTGAGACGCCTGATACACGAAGGGTGAAGTGAGGTTGGGCACGTTGGACGTTTGACCCCGTCCAAAAGGCGAATGATCCGACGAACTGGACACCAGGCCCCAATGGACTGCGGTTTTCGCACACCGCCCCATTGCGTTATGGGTCAGGCTTTGGCTAGTCAAAGGCTCAGATTGTGGATTCCTCAAGAGAATTCACCGGCCCTAGCCTGGGCAATTTGGCAGTATTGCGCCTACAAGCAATCATGGAACGCTTCTCTTTTTTTATAAAGATTAATGTACCACGATTTGTTTGGCAGAGTCTAGATTCAGACGTGTGTGAAAAATATAATGGATCAGGAGAACGCAGGTGGATAACATTAATAGAGTCCTTCTATATGCGTGTTTCGGAGACACAGAATACATCTAAATTGAAGGTTTCAATGATCCTAGCCAAGGCAACCTGTTGACCAATCTGAGTGTGCGTGGGCGGTGAACGTGGCTAAGTGAAAAGGGAATTTGGGCTTCAAAAATCCTACTACTTCTGATTGTATGACTTTGTTGGTAAAATGCTGAGTGACATCCGATGGCTCTGGTAAACAGGAGGCATCTGGAATTATTTGAGAATGAGGAGGAGAAGAGGTTTTTCCAAATGGGTACCTAGGACTTCAGGGCACGACATACTTCGCGGTAGCCGACACCGACGAAGAGGGTTTTCTTTGGGAACCCTAACCGGAGCCTTTGACTCAAAAGTCTGACTCGCAAGGCAGTGGGGCGTAGATTCAAAACAGGAGCGTGACCGAAGCACCCATGTGGGAGCTTCTAGAGACCTGTCACGCAAGGTCTTCGGGTTTCGCATCGAGTATGTTATTCGGTAATATTTCTTCTATATGCGAGAGGTAGAATTGTGTCACACTACCATTTAATGTGAAGAAGATATATTATAAGATTACTTATAGCATTCCACAAGTTAGTACGCGTTTGATTGCTGAAGCAAGCACATGATTTATTCTACGGTTCCTCATTCATCTTCAACAAATACTGCCGCTTCACACTCACCCTCCCCAGCCAGCCGGATGCCTACACCGAAGTAGAAGAAAACGGTATGGGACACCGCATTGATGAAAACAGTCGTGGAGACAAGGCATGCATAAAAGTGCGGCCTGAGTTAAGTGAAACAGAAAACATATTTTGCGGAACTAAAACACAACTACGCCACACTAACTGTAAACGACAGAGAGGGAAGGGGGAGGAAACATTTTTCACAAAACCTACGGAAGATTCAACAAACAGAACAACACACACACACGCACACACAATGCATGTGAGGTGGGTGAAAAACCAAAACGGGAAGATCGTCCTCTGACAGAAGATGCACAAAGCTCTGAACGCTTTGAATGTGATCCACAGCCAAAAACCGATCGATCGATAGATCTGGAACAACCATTACTACCAGTAGCATTAGTAACAAACAAGCAAAGAGTGGAGCAAATCACGTGCATGCGCGTACGAACACATGCGCACTAGTGACATACCACAATCAGACCCGGAATGATTGTGTCAACCACTTGACTAATCAATTCCACGGGCGCATTGCGCACCACTTGTTCTTGCATTTTCACTGCAGGCAAATTGATTTGTAAAGACCAATCATTGATCAATGGGGTAAGTACGCTCAGGCACAGATCCGGTGGAAGACATTGAGCGACTGTTTTTGAGCACTCTTCTGCGGCTCGATTGACCTGACACGTTGATGACCAGAGAGAAGAAAAAAAACAGGGCATAGGTCATAAATCAGAAGCTAAAGGGGGATGAAAGGAATGAATTAGGGTCAAGACAACAAAAGCTAAATAGGTGCTTACAGTGTTTCGACACGGAAGTGACTTGAATTAACGAACTCAAAGATGCCACTATCTGACTCCGGGGAAGCAAAATACTCTTCACAGAGAGGACAGTCATAGGCTATCGTAGAAATGCCATTGAAACCGTTTTCAACTCCAAAGATTCAGATATGTATCAGTGAATTTCAACTTGAAAATAACTAGATCATTCGGTGGTATGATGAAAAAGAACAAAAAGATAAACCGACAGCGAATTCCCGAGGGGGAGTTTCATAGGGGCACACAAACGCAATGAACGTGTGGAATGGAGGAGGCTATGTCACCGCCGGTATCGGTAGTAGTATCATTCCAATCATCACAATCGTACAGTGGAATTCACTGGCCGCTGTGAAACTCACGCTGCATACGACGTAAGGGGGCAAATCAACTGTTCTCAGTCAAACATGTACAGTTTGGCGAAAGCCGTTAGCATGTAGCTCCCTCATCCTCTCAGCAGACGGATTACGGTGACAGAGAGAGAGAGAGAGTTGTTTATTCGCAGTAATGTATATTCGTATAATGATCAATGAGAAATCCCAAAGCACTATTTCTCGCCCAATACGGAGTTGCCAGTTATCGCACGCCTAGAAGGATGTAATTGGAGATCAGTGAGGGTGATTGCGTGCAGCCACAGAGTGGATTATTTAGGAGCGATAAAACTGAACCGGCGAGGGTTGAATTATCGTAAACCGAAACAGCTTCGTTGACCTTAAATGGACGACAGGGGAGCGGGGGGCTAATCTGTGAGGGCGAAAACCATGACGCATTTTTGCGAACGAAATAAGCGGCTCGTAAACGAAATCATGGTTTTTTTGTCCGTATTTTACGCGCGTGGTTCATTCTGAATTTTCAACAATTCGCCGATTCCACGGATAAGAATCCATTCCCCGAAGAAAATAATTAGTTATTTCGAACTGAATGATGCCGAACAACTGTTGGTGTGTAGATTTTCACACTTTGATCTTTAGTCGGACGCATACGGTGGTTTCGTATCACCACACTCGGATTGTGAATCCTGTACACATATGTTGTATCAGTCCCGACTCGGAGTCTTTTCAGATGGACCAAATAAGTAGAAGGAAATCAGACAGGCTTTGACCGGTGGAAAAATCTCCTATCACTTGTCTATGTAGCTGACTAACACAGTCGACAATGAACGTATTATTATTATTATTATCGTACAGCGAAATACAGAGAAACTCGCAATGCACATGCACTGAGGTTTGATGGAGAGGTACTGTTAGGGTGTCCAGCCACTAAGCAGGAGAACGGTTAGGGTTCTCAACCAAAGCCTTCTGACAAGAACCTAGCCGCAAGGCAGCGGGTGAAGCGAATTGGAGGCCCATTTACTTGGATCGATTGCTCTTCCACCATTTTTTTACCAGTTTCTGAAGAGACCAAAGCAGCTTCCACAATATAGTGATGTAGTATAACCCAAAACTGCAAATATAGTAGTTATTCTATTCCGTCAACAATCCCGTATTAAAACATTAAACGATTCGTAAGGTCGCGAATTGATAGCACCTCGATCGTAGTACCGACCGACCTATAACAGTCCTGTGTCAGTTCAATCTCAAATAAAAAATGGAATGAAGCCCAGTGCATTAACACACTCTGTTTCGTTGACGCGTCGACATTTCGGTCATTCCGAATTTCGGCACACACAGTTACGAGTTCTTCTGATAAGACAGACGGATCTGGCGATCGGATTTAATGGATTTTTGTGGTGAATCAATGAATCTATGAATACCAATCAAGAAGCAGACACGCACCCTGGCGATTAAACCGCGCATGCCACTCGTTTGTTTCACGGGCTCTGAACGATGACTAGACTTATACAATCCGAAACGGCAACAAAATTACCACACTCAACAGTGATGTGGACAGGGGAAAAACACCGTAACTCTTGGAGCAGACATACCGTTTTCTCTCCATCTCGACAAGCTTCTAACACTTTGATCACAAAAAGACAAGCGAATTCGTGGAACAATTCGTGCTTGGTTCGGACCAATTCTTGCAACACTTTCAGAGCCAAAGCGCGCGTTTCAGTCTGAAAATGAGAAAACGATGAGAGAATGCCAATGTTATCTACTAGGAAATGCTCAGACTGGTAGATCGGATCAAGTTTTCGAAGGATTAGGCAGTTGTGACATTTGCGATTCGCCAGGTCTTATTTTGGCAGAATGTGAGCAAGAAAGTAACGTGATGTTGGCAAACGAGAACCAGATTCTGTAATAGGAGTTTAAAAATACACGGGCCTGATCACAGGCACACTCGCAGAAGAAAAACTTCTTTCGCACCCAAAAGCAATTCTGAAAAACGGTCTGATCAAATGACCGGTGTTCAAACGGGTCGCACGGGCTTGTGTTCAATCTGTGTAAGGCCTCGTGTTCCTTCGTTCACTTGGGTCAATGGATTCGCACTGTGGATGGGAGACCAATCCGAGAAGAAAATAGTGTGTAATACAAACGGATCAGTATTATTCATATATATATATATATATATATATATATATATATATATATATATATATGAATAATACTGATCTCTATGTCACTCATTCATNATTCATAAGCAACACACAAAAACAGTCCATTGTGGCGAGAAAGTAAACCAAACTGCGAAAATGGCATGTGTCGCTATCAGTGCCAACAACAAAAACAACAAGGAACTTGCCCCATCATCTCCCAGAGTCTCCAATAGGATGAGTAATGTCGGCTTGAAGTACTCGTCCCAGTCTTGAATCACACCGTCACGTAACAATTTGATCAGCTTGAGCATACAGCTCTTGCGTTGCTCGTGCCTGTTTAGAAAAAAAAACAGGTGTGAAATACCGTGCCAAGC